CGGTTTTAACATATCCTGCCCATGGGTATGTTAAACGCCGCTTCAACGGCCATAGAAATCAAACCTGACCTGCTGGGCCCTACCTCGCCTCGAGTATGCCTAGAGAAAGAGGTCCCGGCCCAGTGCGTCGGCGAGGTCCCCGTGCACCGGCCCGAGGCTCGGGTCCCCGGAGAGGGCGAGCGCGGCGTCCGCGAGGGCGACGCTCCTCGGCGCAGCCGATCCGGCGAGCACGCGCCGGAGCTCGCGGAGCCGCGCGTCGTGGCGCGCGACGAGGACGCGGTGGACGTCGTCCTCGGGCGCGCGGCCGTCCTCGTCGTCGGCCCAGGCGAAGGAGACGCGCTGACCGTCGTGCGCGACGACGACGTCGACCGCCTCGCCGGCCGCGAGCTCCCGGGGCGGGAGCCGCTGGACGGCCGTGGGCCAGTGGCTCGCGCGTGCCGGCGCTCCGTCCCCCGCCGGCGCCGCGAGTGCCTCCGGCTCCGTCGTGAGCGCGATGCCGTCCGCGAGATCGAGGTCGAAGAAGAAGGCGACGGCGACGGCGGTGCCCCCGCGGCGCGCGCGGACCGTCCGCCGCGCGGGGCCGCAGCCGCGCTCGGGCGACCGCTCGCCGAGGAAGGCCGCGCGGTCGGAGAGGTCGAAGGCGAGCACCTCCGCGGCCTCGCTGAGGGCCTCGTAGTCGCCGCGCGCGAGCCGCTCGCCCTCGTAGGCCGCGCCGGGGCCGTAGCGGCTCAGGCAGGACACGTCGACGCCGCCGCCGTCGCGCGAGAGCGTCGCCGCGTCCGCGACGAGCACCGCGCGGACCGCGCAGGCGCGCGGGACGACGGCCGCGTCGGGCCGGAGCGCGCGACGCCAGGCGTTGCCAACGACGGCGAGGACGCGCTCGCCGAGGCAGCCGCAGTCGAAGAGCTCGACGAGGAGCAGGTCCGCGCGGCGGTCGATCGCGACGTCGCCGCCGCGCGGCGCCGGCGCCGCCGCGCCCGCGCGGAGCCACCGCGCGTCGCCCCGGCGGAAGTCGACCTGTGTGGAAATCAACCCCCGGTTTGGGGGTCCCCACCGAACTTCAAAATGCTCGAGCTCGGTCACATCGAAGTCGATTCGGCCAATGTTTGGACGAGTCGTGCTCGAAGCGCGGCGGAAGAACTCGCGTCGGAACCGTCGAGTATGCTCACATTGAAGTCGGCTCGAAGATGTGATGTCCACGCAGGAGTCGACGATCTGCCCCGGCGCGAGCGCCGCCCGGGCGGCGACGGCGCGCGACGCGTCGACGAGTGCGGCGCACGTCTCGACGCCGACGACGTCGACGGCGGCAGCGCCGGCGGCGTCCGCGGCGAAGAGGCCGAGGACGCCGACGCCCGCGCCGGCGTCGAGGACGAGGGGCGCGCCGCGGCCGGCCGCGCGGTGGAGCGCGGCGGCGACGGCGCCGGCGACCGCGGCCGCGTAGGCCGCGTTGCGGGCCGCGTCGGCGACCATGGGCGCGTGCCACGCCGGGACGACGGACCCGGGCGGCGGCGGCGGCGGCCGGGGCCCCGGCGCGGCGGCGCCCGCGAGCGAGAACGAGACGTCCGCGTCGGCCCACGCCGCCGCGACCGCGACGCGCGCGCCGCCCAGCGGCGGCGGCGCCGCCAGGCGGCAGAGGGCGAGGGGCAGGGGGCCGTCGGCGTCCGGCGGCGGCGGCGCCGCGTCGAGGCGCCCGTCGAGGGAGAGCTCGGGCCAGCCTGCGCCGGAAACGACCAGTGGAATGGCCCCGTCCAGCGAAACTTCGAACCGCTCTCTCTCGGTCGAATCGACGTCGTTTCGGCTGATTCTTGGACGAGTCGTCTTCTCT